GTAATATGCTGTAATTAACAATGCAAATGTGGAATAAAAATCTCATTATTTATCCGAGAGACATGAGCAGGTGATTATGTACTTAGGGGTATAAAATGCATAATAAAAATGCACAGTGATAATTGTTCCAAAAGGTCTTCCACTTTGGGCCAAAGGTAGAGTTTTAAAAGTTAAGTGTAACTTCTTTTCTCCAGTCTAGCTCTGTGTATATACTATTATTTCTTGTCAGTCCATCCAAATTCAGTTTGATTAAGTTAAATTTTATAGCATCTTGTTTAAACTCAAGGCCATATTAAAAAAGTGTTAGAAAGCCTATACAAATGATACACTTCTGTTTTTCCAGAATCCTCATATAACTCAGGAAAATTAGACAGACCAATTTTATTAACCATTTTTTGAAATTCTATTTGAAACAAAAGCACTCCTGGATGGAAGGCTTGTATATCAGATTTCAGACCTACGTAAACTTTAATAGCTGAGCTGTAAAAATAGTCATTTATAATGTAAACACTGCCGAATCTTTAACTATAATCCTGCCAGTGAGCAACTATAATAATCCAACAGTAATCATCATCATTATAACAAATGTCCCCAAGACAGCCTGCTGCCTCCTCCAAGCAGGCAGACATTCCCCTCCGACAGATATGTGTTCCAACAAAGAGCCTAACGACACACAGACAGGTACGCTTCCTTCCCAGCACCGGCAAATTTCAGGAATAAATTAGTCAGGCAGACCACCCTGCCCCCATTCGATATCCTTTTAGCATCCAAGATGACCTAGAAACGCAATTTATCAAAGGTGATTGTGTTACTCCCTAACTGAATTATCTTCCTCTTTGTCCCATAACACCATAAAGCTTTAACCCTGAAATAGGAAGCCCAGTTCACTTTTTAATGTTTGCAAATGTTCTGTGTAAAGGAAGAGACTCGCTCAGACTCAACTTAACTCAAACCAGAACTGAATCCTCTCCTGGCACTGCTGGGTTTCGCATTAGACTGAATGGGCTCCCCTGCGAGTCAGTCTTAAAGGGCCAGCGACACAGGCTGGCCCTGACAGGCTCACCGCTCTGTAGCATCTTTAGTACCTCAGCCAAATTAATAGTTTTATTAAGGAAAGGTGGAAACGGACCTTTGTGGGAGACGGGCAGCCCATTGACAAAAACTGTTAAAGGTCTTTGGGTGGCCACACTTCTCTCCCTGTGAAACCAGCCTGGAATTGCTAACGTGTTAAAGCATCCCTAATTCACTCAAATAGAGAGGTTTGGGGGCCTCCTTTTTGAAATCATTGCTGTTATAATCACGAATTAGAGACTTTTTTAGAGAAATACCCGACTCTACTTCCAGGAATGTATAGATACTTAAACAAGTCTGCTGTAGTATAAGCATGTAGACATTCTAATGGAAATTTTTATAAATAAGAAATAATAATGGGGGTAATTAACCCAGCCATCTTTTATGTGTACAGGTTAGTTTAAAAGTTTTTTAAAGTACATTTCTCCTTCGTTAAGTGACTGATAAAAATTTTGAGATAGTTAATGTTCTTTAAGGGACTTATTTTTCATCTTTAGAAAATTCTCAATTATTGGAATATGAATCCATAGCATCTCATTTTTTGATATCATCCTATGTTAAACTCAAGAGAAATAATTATTTTCTTACATTTATTCTCGGGAAATTTTTATTCGTCATGTTTTCAGATGAAGAATTTTCTACCATCAGAGTTGCTTTCTTAGCATCTCTCTCTTTCTCAGACTGAGGACCTGGAGAGAAGGACTATGCAGGATCAGCCAGCACCTGGCGGTTCTCCCCTAGGAGCTACCTTACCTGCTTTGCCAAGCCTGCCCCATCTGGACTTCTCATGGCCTGGGGGACACCCACAGCCTGGGATGAGGAAAAGGGTGCTACTCCATGGACCTACGCCTCATTCTTGAAGCTGGGACTTTGTTCTCCATCTGTCCGGCTTCTTTATTTCTCTTTCAATTGGTGCAAAATTGGGACAGAAACAAAAAAGGGGGAGGGGGTCATTTCTTACCTCTTCCAACCACAATATAGATCAAGTGCCATGCAGGTTTTGGGTGAAAGGAAAGCCCACTGTGTGGCCATTCTCCAGGTAGGAAACCTTTGAAGAAAGGTGTTACGATATGTGAGGTGCTGCTTCCTAAGCAACAAGAAATAAATCAAAACTCTGTGGCAATTTACCAATCCAGGCATTTTGTAGCCGGGGGAGATATGGAGGAAGACTAGCAGGTTCAAGTGCTGAATCAGTGTGATAACATCCTGTAGACTTCATATAAATGTGGATTCCGTAGAAGACCTGGGTTCTGCTCCTGCCTCTCCCACCACTCACACCTCCTGTTTTCCACTGAGAGTGCTAATCCAGGTCCCAGGCTCCTCAGCAGCTGTTTTCCTGAGGGTATGATCTCTTTCCCTCAGAATATTGAGGTGTAAAGGTTTTGTTTTTAAAAAGTCTTAAAGCCCTGGCTGGTGTGGCTTAGTGGTTGAATGCCAACATGCGAGTCAAAGGGTCACCAGTTCGATTCCCAGTCTAGGGCACATGCCTGGGCTGCAGGCCGGGTCCCCAGTAGGGGGCACACGAGAGGCAACCACCTGTTGTTTCTCTCCCTCTTTTTCTCCCACCCTTCACCTCTGTCTAAAAATAAATAAATAATTTTTAAAAATTCTTAAAGACACGAGCTATTCCATTGTTGGCCATTTATAGAAGTAATTAACACACAGGGGTTCTTGAACCTCCATGGGATAAAAAATGTTTGATTACCACTCCTGGCCTGTAAACTCTTAGCAGGCAAGCACGCACAAAAAGACAAACCATGCTGCTTGTTAGAAAATCAAGTGAGTTAAAACCTAAATTTCAGAAGAATCCACAAAATAAGAAAAATTTGTTGTCGTTAAGAGCACGGGGTGTTCAAACATTAACCAACCTAAACACAGCCAACATTACAGAATGAAGGGTTTCGAAGACTAAAAATTGTTGAACTTGAGTAACGCTTCACCCAGAGAGATGATGCATCAGAGGACAAAGTGAGCCCCGGATGTCAAGACATGGCCCTCTACAGGGGATCCGCTTCAGTTTTCCCAGAGTAGGTGTTTATCTTAAAGAGCTTTACTGAGGTCCTTGTGACCCCAAGTTTTTTTCCCAGAGTATTATAGAATTTTGGCTGTCCTGTTGTGCCGTTTGGCACTCAGAAGTCTCCCAAACACCAGCAGTGGCTCCATTTCCCCGGTCTGTCCGGGGAGCCCCATACAGCAGGAGGCAGCAGCAGTGCAGGGCTCTCCCGGGAAGCCGGCCCTACCACCCCGCCGCCCCGCCACCCCGCCGCCCCGCCACCCCGCCACCCTGCCACCCCGCCACCAGTGGCTCACTTCAGTAGAGCCTCTGGGCAGGACTGACTGTGGGACACAGCACAAAATTGATGTGCGGCCCCTTGTTCAAGAATGAAGAATTCAAGTTTGTAACAACAGTGCATTAAATAAGTGTAGGTGTAGGGACATTTTGGTGGCTCAGACCAGTCGTTTTGAAGCCAACCAGCCTTTGGAGACTTTGATGAAATGGGCCATTCTGTGGACTGGACAGAGACTCTTTCTTCTGCACAGATCCCAAAGCCCTTTTCATTCACAGCCACCTATTATCAGTCCCTTCAGACACTCTTGCACCCACCCATGTAGAAGGCAAACATCTTTAGCTCTCAGAGGTGGGTAAACTAAAACACATAGAGTATTTCTCCAATTGTAGATCCTTTGGCAACAGAGCTGCCTGCAATCATGTCCTTCTGTTTAGTAAACTCTGACACTTCCTAACAGCATGTCAATCAATGCTCCTGGTGCCAACGGAGTTCTGCATCATCTTTGGCACTGATTTTTAATTAGAAGCCATATCATCACATGGCAATAATATCAAAGGAAAACCTGGATACAGTGCTGTATGACTTCGCTTTCCACAATGGGATGCATCGGTGACCCTGTTAGATATTCTTCGTTGCACCCTAGGCTTGACATTACCACTTGACGGTAAACAAAGCATCCTTTCCAGAAGCCAGGTGTGTTCTGCAAGAGCCTGATCCAAGGATTACCATGGCTGCAATTTTTCTTGAGGTATTTCTCTTTCTCCAACTTGGTTTTTCCTTCTCATTTCTACACACACACACAGGCAAACACACAATCTGGCTCCGCTCAAAGCAAGCAGCTAAGCAGAAAACATGAGTTGGTGTTTAGCCAGTAGCTTTTCCCTCTTTGTCCCTAGTTGTTAATAAACATGTTTAAACTACCTACCAGCCATAAATTACGAATGAGGAAAGTATCAATTTAGGAATTAGTCATTCTAACTTTCTTCTCTTTGAATCCCTCTTTCCAGGACAATGGTACAGTTTTCCCGATCTAAAAGCAATTCAGAAGCTTTCTGGGATGCAGGTGTGTGAGGTTTAGTTGCATGAGTGCACAGGTGTGAACTGAAGACTGCCGTGGAGCTAAAACACTCACCCTCCATCTCCCGCAGACATCTCCGCAGATGTGTATTTTTTTAATCCTCACACAAGGATATGTGTTTTTTTTAATTGATTTTAGAGAGGAGGGGAGAGAAGAACAAAGAGAAAGAAAGTTGTGGGAGGGAAACATTGATCGGTTGCCTTCCATACACACCCTGACCAGGGTTCAAACCCACAACCGTTTGGTGGATAGGACAACGCTCCGGTCAACTGCGCCCCCCGGCCAGGGCTCCCCATACGTTATCTTCAGATGCATCATTGGTCAATATTGAAGACTGGTGATAGCAGCTTCTCTTTACTTTTTTGTGTTTAAAATTTTACACAAGAAACATTAAATTAAAAAAAAAAGAATTAAGCTGATGAAATTAAATTTTTTGGAAAATTTTGATTTCCAGGTGGATATATCTCATCAAGGCACCAGAAGAAAACCGGAGGGCAGAGAGAGAAAGCTCGTAGTTTCCCTGGCGGCTGAGAAGTGCTGCTACTCTCCTTTCAATTTCCTCGTGAGCAAGCAACACGCCACCACGGGCGCAGGTGACCCGCCCTTTCTCACCAGACCACAGCTTCACTTCGCACAGGCTGACATCTGCAAGGTAAAAACGATTTCACTCACGTTTATTCACAGTAGAAAACAGTGCCCCACGACCATCTTGCAGGTTCGTGTCTACAGCACGTTTTTAAAGGGCAGAAGGGAGGAGAGGCAGCTCCTGGGATTTGGAGCCCTAAGCGAGGCCCGGGGGCACCTGCACGTGCAGGTAACGTGGCAGGACAGGTGTGTGTCCCACTTGAAGCTGGGAGCTCAGGGATGAGCTGTGTGTCCCACAGCTCGTAAAGGCCTCAAGTTTTAACTTTGACCTTATCTTCAAATGAACTTAAACCTATGGTCATCTTATTTCTGTGTTCCACAGTAATTAAGTTGTTACAAATAAATATTTGAAGTGTACCGCAGTTTGGAATCCATATTTGGACAGTGTTTGCTTTCTTGTTTGCCAGGGGTCTCCAAAGAGAAACAAAGAAACAAATAAAGAAAATGCAACAAAAAAGCCAGTGGCCTGGGCCTCTCTCAGCTTCTGAGAGGCCCTGCTCAGAGAAAACGGGGCTGCTTTTCTCTGTAAACAGAGGTCCCTGACATTTTCTTCTTTTTGTTTCTACTGCTTCCTCCTGCAACTTGTCATGTTTTCCTAGAGCTGCAAGACTCTTTCAATATAAGCAACAGGAAAATATATGAAGTAACCATTGAGGGCCATGTTATAGTTTTAAAAAAGAAAGAAATCTATTTTGGGAAAAAAATGAGTAATGCCAGGAAAATAATTTTCAAATTCCAGAGGAGAGCAAATGAGACCTTAACAGCTTCAATATTTCCCAAATGTGACAAGAAAGAGAGCTGGAGGGGCGCGATGCCTCTGCAGCGGTGCTCACGCGTGTCCTGTGATGCGTGTTGGTCAGCTGCCCCCAGCGCGCCCTTCAGGTGGTGCCGAGAGAGTCGCAGCTGTTGTCTTCATGGGCCTGCGCCGGCTTCCTTCCTTTTCCCACTGAATGATTTCACTGCTTCCGAAGTCTCTTGTAGTTCCTAGTAGCATCAGACAGTAAAATTAGTCATCAAACGCCCCACCCCCCCACCCAATTTCCAATTACTACAAAGCTGAGAATGTAAAAGTTCACATAGTATAAATAAATAAAATAAATCATAGTAAAATAAATCACATTTAATTTTGGGTTTCCTTCCATTGTTTACTTTTTCCTACCGTCTCGACCACTGTTTGATCAATGGTCGGCCTTGCTGGGGGTCAGGAACTCAGGGGTGCCCCATTACTTCCCAAACCCTCGTTGCACTGCCTTGCAAATTCCCGCAAAGGGACACAAATGGTTTATGCTCAGTCCCAGGGGTGGCGTTTCTGGGCCTGCACCCTGTACTGTTCTGTTCATCCCCCAGTGGAGGAGGTAATGAGCCTGGAGGTGACTAAGAATGAGAAGGCACCGGGAGGAGTCCACTGAGATGCCACACCTCCTCCTTCATCCAGAGCGAGCCGTGAGGTCAGTGGTCTGACTGGGGGCACACCCAAACCACGCCCTCGGCTTCTGGAATGCAAATATCCAACCCCCAGCCTAGGCCCTGAGAGTCAGCCCCAAATTTTAAAATCCAAAGGGGACGCCTTGGTTCTTACATGTAATGATGAGATAAACTTTTATAAACTCAAAGAACTATAACATGTTCCTTTGCTACTTTAATTGATTTAAAAAAGTAAAATTGAAACTCAACTTATTTGGGATAAAGTGGGGCATAAAGGGTGGGCAAAAGTGGGTATGTAGTTGTCTGTAAAATATATACTTTATTCTTGTATTACTGTTTATTAATTATTATACTATTTATTTGTATTATGTAAACCTAATTTTGCCCACCCTATGTGTATAAATTGGTCTCAAACACCCCGACCAAATCTTGACCAAAGCTAAAGTCGAGGAATAATTTGAATAACTGACACTGAGTTTAAAAATAATAATAACAAAGAATCATCCTCCTTCACAGCTGAGTTTGGTCCTCATTATAGATTAGTAGTTTAGTGAGTTCATGTGGAGACGTTCCTTATTATCACAGTTTTATTGTTTACCTTGGTACATCTGTTTCGAAATTCATATAGAAATGGCCAGACATTTCAATAAGTCCGTCTTAGAACGTTGACGTAGATCCCAGTGCACTCAGATCCGGATGGAAAGCTGGTCCTTTGAAATTTACAGTCGTACAGACGGAGCCGCATCTGGGTGGCTTTGCTCCATTGCTGTCCCTGTTCCTTTAGATTTAGGCTGAAGTTATGATTTGCACCAAAGGCCAAAGGCCTTGCATGTGGCATGTGTGAGTTCAGGCTGATAAGAACTTAATACTATGTTTGATTCACTTTGATACGGCTTGTTTACAAAAACACATCTACCACCTCTTCTGCCCTTTACCAAATAGTTCACCCATCAAGGAAGAGGACAGGGCAAGTGGAAGGAATTTTCTCCTTGGCTGCAGAGAAGGATGGGGGAAAACACATATTTGTTGTTCAGACTGGGGCCCTTGAACAGGTTCTCTCCCATCACACCCCTGATGGTCTATACAGACGCTGTGTGTGTAGGTACCCAAGACCAGCTTCTAACGCACAGAGGAAAACATCTAGAATTTCCAACAAAAGCATCCCCTTAACAGTTTGATCAGCATTCACACTGAATCTTTAGAGTTTCCTTCTTAACTGTCCATATCCATGAGAGAGAAAGGAAGAAGGGAAGAGAGAAAAGACAAACAAGAGAAGGAAAAGTGTCCTGGAAATGATGTGTATGGACAGATGTAATTGGGACTAAATACTCAGGACAACTTTGCAGTACTCTGGTTCTTTGGAACACTCGCTGTAAAAGCCGCAGCAGCCTGCTCCCTCCTGAAGCACCACTGAAAGTCATCCTGCAGTAGCTTTGCATTGGCCCTTCGTTTTAGGTCTGAGGTAGGTGAAGTGCTATTTTGCAAGAATAGGTTAGATCAATCTGAATTTTTGACCTGACCTTCCCCTCACCCCTAATAACTTCCTGGTTCCTTGGTCACAGAGTGATTTATGAGCAAGAACAAAGAATGATGTGTCTGTCCCAGCAGCAAGGGAAACTAGAAAACTTATTAAGGGGTGGGGGGGAGCAAAAGAAAAGAAAGGGGAAGAAGCCAAAGAAAAAATACCAGTTTCAGAATGAAGTAGCTCCGTTTCTAGGCTGCTGTAATTACCTAGCCACTGAAGAAATAAAATGTGGAAATCCATTATATAAAAAATCAATGTTTTAAATAATGTGAAGTGCTCTCATAATTTTAAATCTTGCTATAATGTCCATGCTCAGAGCCCCGATCACCTTTAAAGAGGAGGGCTCCAATAATTCTAAATTGTTCTTCACGGACAAGGCTCCGACCCCTCATTCTCTTCCAAATGGAAGCAATCTTGAAATAATTTAAAATAGTTCTTCCCCCTCCCCTTGTTACTTTACGGCCCTTCTTTGTCTTTCCTCAACTTCTTAGACAATGATACTACTAACTTTGAACTCAAGAATTTCTTAAATTGACAATTGCAGGTTAACCTGCAATAACTACTGATTATCTTTTTCCTTCTTCTGAAATAAGTAAACTTAACTTTTTTTTCAAGTTAATTGTGACAAAAGCATAGGGCTTTATTTAGAAAACCCTCCTAAGGATGTTTTTATTTAGTGATTGCAAAAAAATAATGTAAAATTAATGAATAAGGATTTTATAATTTCTAATCTACAATTCCATAAAGAATACAATTTTGTATTGAATTCCAGCCTCATTTACGAAGACCTCCTATAATTAAAATGCCTCAATCTTTTTCAAATTAGAAAAGCAAATTGTTACATATTCTAAGTAGGTGCTTTCCTGTTTAATGACAGTCGCTCCCATGATTTATGGCACACATTATTTTATATCAAAGTACAATGAAATAGGCATTACCAAAGGTAATCTCTGTAATGTCTGGAAAGGGATCAGAAACCTCAGTGCAACAATGAACACAGTATTTAAAATGCAAAACCCAAAGACATTATTATGGTTTTGATTTCTTATGGCCCAGCCTCGCCTGATCAGTTATATTACCAGTGCAGCACAAAGGGTGTTTGCATCTGAATGCTGCTAAGATAACAGACGGGAAAAATGAAATATAAAGTCAATTTTCATGCAGAAATTGTTATCAAAGGGATGCTAAAGTAAAACTGTATAATCACAAGAAAAAACAATTGATGATGAACAATCTAAAACAGACCGAGCTGACTATGTCTGATTCCGGCTTTTAAACTCGTGTTCTATTAAAATGTGTAATAAAGTGTTAAGATAATGTATAAACAAATACAAGTGGAATACTGTGTTGATTATTATTTAGACACTGCCTTCCAAGATCTCTCTTTGCAAATGGAATCAGGCAGCCGCTTAAGTGGGCACATCATGAGTTGAGATGAGTTTTCATCAAGCTCAGATTTCTAACTCAAATGAAAAAGAAATAATTGCGAATTTTAAAACGCAGAGTTGCTCCAGCATAGAACGGAACCAGCGGGCACCGAGGGACGAGGAGACACACACACCCTTCTTCAACTCGCACAAGTGAAAAGTCATAATGCTGGCGAGAATGCGCTCTCTAAACTTGAACTTTCTGGAGTCAGACGTAAATAACACCCAAGCATACACTGCACGGAAGAGCCTTTCCCCGCTACAGTGCTGTTTATCGTGCAGTTTGCAGTCAGAAAGGTGGCTCTTTCTAATTCTGTTTTTAAGACATTTTGCTTCGAGCCTCAGAAATTAAATGGAGAACAGCAAAGAAGGGGTTTACTATTTAAGGCTCTTGGTTGTAATTTTTTAATTAGCCATTAGGAAGATGAAGGCAGGTTCAGACAGGGAGGGAAAGAAAGACTGGGAAGAAATATGGCTTTCTGCAAAAAGCCCACAGGGATTACAGGAAAGACCCGGTCTCCAGGGGGGTTCCTATCCCAGAAGGGGCTTGCAGGCCACTTCCTTGTGTCCCTTGGGCAAACCTAAACCTAGTTGTTTGAAAGCTTGGGGTTTAACTGGATTTCCTAAAAGATGTCATGTCTCAGGCTCAGGTTGTTACACTGAAAAAAAAAATGACTGGGAAAAAAAAAACATCAATTCTGGGAGCACAGATGCCAGAGATCTCAGAGGCTTAGAGCCTCTCAGTCTATTACACACACCTTCCCACTCTTGGGAGGATTAAAGGCAAGGGAGGGCCCTGTGCTTTGTGTACCAGGAAGCCTTGGCCCGTTCCTTATTTTCTAATGAGAAGAGGTAGGATAGTGGAAAGAGGCAGAGGGGTAAAACACAAGATGCAGGAAGGTTGATGGGATGTGCCTCTGTAAGCAGTGAATCAGGTCAATCTAAGTCAAAGGCAGACCTGCCGGGAACCCTGAATGAAGACAGACTCCTGGAAGATACAGCAGAGAAACTGCATGATTCGCATGCCGTTGAAGTCTTGAGGTGATTGTAAGTAATAAAGGTGGCAAACATAATGAGATGACATTAACAGAGGGGATGGTGTCACCAAAATGACGAGTCCTAGTTTTCGTTCTTCATGCTATTCCATCTGTATTTCCCGTGTCCGTAATGGCACCATTCATTTGTTCCTTCATTCAGTCTCTCGAGAGTCACCTTCACCTTCTCAATCTCATCCAATATTAGGTCTTGTCTAGTTCTAACAGGGTGCAGACAAGGTGGGTGTCCCAAATAGGGATTTGTAATAGGGTCCAGAACTCAGTGTCCAGGAAATATTAGAAAAAAACTATACGTATAGGATGTCCTGGCCCCCACAAGTCTGAGCTGGAGGATGGGACGCATGGAACAGGGCCATTGACAGTTGTCTTGAGTAGCAACAGTTTTGCAGATAACCTCTGGAATGGTCATTTAACATATCTGTAACCTTTAATTGGTTTCATAGATGCATTAAACAGCTGTGGTCATACTTTGAGCCAGGGGTATGGGAGTGACTTCAACCCATGATGTAACTGGGAAGCATCTCCCCCTGATTACAGAGCCCGCGTAAGAGCTTGGAGATGATTGTGGCTCCACACCAGGGCCACACCTGCCCAGACTTGCTATGGCAGCCCAGTGAAGCTGGAAAAGTACCGGAATGCTGGCAGCTGTGGCCAATTGTGGGAGGAGTCGGAAGTGGTACAGCAGGAGATGATTGGTGCTGGGATTTAAACCCAGGTGCGGCAGCCATGTGGGGTCTTTTTGGGACCATGCATTATTTGGGACCATACGGCTTGGGCAGAGAAGACCCACGGACTTCTATTTCTTTTTCTGAGATATGGTACCCTGGACTGGGCAGAGGGGGAA